GCACAGCCACGACCTGGACAACGAGAACAAATATTCTTACACCAAGTTTGCCTGCAGCTCAGCCAGTGATGCCAGCAGCGTCCGGGGTCTGGGGGTTAGGTTTGGGGCTGTCGGACGGTCGGGTTTAAGGGTGAAAGGTTTCTGTGGTAGAACCGATCTTAAACCCCAAACCCTAAAACCCCAATTAAAACCCTATCACCCTAAAACCCCTAAACCCCTAAACCCCCAAAACCCTTATTATGTGTTTTTTAGGGTCTACACCCCTAAACCCCCAAACCCACTCACGCTTCACATAGCATGTCGGGCTCCTCAGCCCCAAGACCACAAATCAGTGAAAAGGCCCAGGCAGACTACAGAGCCGTTACAATGCCCCTCTCTTCAAAGCTCCTTACAAAGCCAACATGAGAAACTTTTTTAAACCCTAAACCCCTAAACCCTAAACCCTAAACCCTAAACCCCTTGTTGGACGGCTTTGACAAAATCCTCCTGGACTTCGCTAACGTCTGCGGTAGTGTTTCACCTTAGTGTACGCTCGTACGAGCAGGGAGCCGTCAGGTAACCACTACACGTAAAAAAAAACCAATCTGGAGCCAAACCCAGGCCCTCAGTCTACTGCACGTTCCGGACAACTTGGAAAGAGCGATCGACAGCGTCAAGACAGACGAGCTCGACGAGTGCGAGGACCGCGAGCATCAGTCTCGCGAGTTTTGTTGGAGAGTGCGCTAGCTGAGGGGTCAGGTTTTAGGATTTATGTTGATGTGTGCGAGGACCTTTTTGGTGAGAGGTCTGAAGGCGTGCTAGTAACCGTCAACATAGTTCTCTGAAGCCTTAACCCAGAGCTTTTCTCTTTGTCTGTAGTAACTGTATCAATTCTACTTCTACTTCTACTACTACTACTACTACTGCTACTACTACTACTACTACTACTACTACTACTACTACTGTAGTAGAGTTGAAATAGCCCTGCGACGTCCGCAGGACTTGAAACGAGAAGTAGAAGGTGCCAGCGCCCCAGGAAAGCTTGCTTGCAAGCTTGGGCTTGTGAGATAGACTTCTGGGTTCTTGTTAAGGATTTAGCTTAAGTTACCACAACAGGGTCCCAGGGTTCTATAGAAATGATGCGGTTTCCTTATTATCATGGTAACTTATATTCTCTTCCTTACCTAGAACCCAGCTTCGGGCTGCCCAGCGCATCAGAGAGATGTGGAGGCTACATTTGCACCCTAGGCCCGCAGCCCCTGTTCGATGTGCGAACGCGCGGAGGCAGAACCCCGGAATGCCAAAAAGTGGCGGCTCAAGCAATAGTCTTCCTCTACAGCACCAGCTGTTGGGAGAATGATCGAGTTGTATTTCTTCACGGACCGGGCAACCACGAAAGACGTGGTGCTTTTGCCCGCGCTTTGCCACGATGTGGCTCTCTTCTCCATAGCTTTGCAGCTCTTGCTCCTTGTGCTGATCCTCTGCTATGCTTTTTTCAAGGCTATGCATACATGCATGCATGCATACATAGATACATACATAGCTATATACATCATAGATACACCACATCTATATATACAGGTACATAGAACATACATACATGCATGCATGCACTCATGCCGACATGCATGCATATGTGCATACAGACAGATATACATGGATGTATGGATGTATGGGTGTATGTATGTACGTACGTATGTATGTATGTATGTATGTATTACGTAGAACAGATACGCAGATACGCCTATGATTGACGGAACATTTGCTAGTCGACGGATTTTGGCGTCCCTGGGGATCTGACTTCGGCGACCAAGGTGAAGAAGATCCGGCACACCGTTGAAGAGGCACTTGCCAAGTTCGGCATCACCAAGATGAAGGCGCTCTCCGAGTCCTAACCTTATGGATCCCCAATATAGGGGCTTAAATAATTACCATTACTATTCGGGGGGTTCCTTAATATAATTATAGTATAATGGGCCCCAAGAACCTATTCTAATTATTAAGGCCCCTATATTATAGGGGTCTCCACCATGGTCTACCGTGAGGGTTTGCCGAACCGTGGCCATGTGTCCTGACTGCTGCCGCCTGCCGCGCCACCGTCTCACCACTCCACGACGACTGCGTCGTAATTGCCGCGCCGCTCTGCTACACGGTTGCACTGCCGTGCCGATCTGCTGTGCTGCGCCTGCCGCTGCCGTTACTGCCTACTGTCGCACTGCTCCTCCGTCGCCGCTCAGTTACGGCTCGGCTACTGCCGCTCATTGTCGCGCCGCTTCGTATAGACTGCTCCTAGCTTATCCTTCACCCAGATCCCAAAGCATGCTCCGTAAACCCTGAACTCTGACGCCTAAACCCTTAGATATCCCTCATCCGACACGTTCCGAAGCCCTTGGATCATTAAAGAACCCTAAACCCTGAACCCTAAACCCCTAAACCCCTAAATCATTAAAGCCTCGACGCTTGAAACCCTGACCTACGCCTAGCAGCCTGTAGGCCGGCTCCGAACCATACGGTTTAGGGGTTTGGGGTTTAGGGGTTTAGGGGTTTCGGGGTGTAGGTTTCAGGAGTTTAAGGTTTAGGCAAGCCTTCAGCCTTCAAGTGATTTTGAGCGCTTCGCCGTGCTACGGGGGAGTTTTCGAAGATGGGCGTCGTTAGGTCTGAGTCCATTGGTTTGGATTTTAATGTTTGGGTTTTAGCATTCAGGGCCTTCGGGTTAAGGGTTTACGAAAAAATGAGACGGGCTAAGGGTTTGAACATGAGAGAAGTTCACTATCCTCGCCCTTTGGTGAGGATGCTGTGGTTCGGAAAGTCTAGGACCTGGAAGCCTAAGCAGCACGGTTAGGGTTTAGGTTTAGGGGTTTAATGGTTTAGGGGTTTAGGGGTTTAGGGGGTGTTGGAGTTTGGGAGATGGAGGAAAGAGGTCGTTGTTAGCTCCGCAGCGTTGAAGACCGGCGTCGAGTTTAGAATGGGATTCGTCGTGGCTCCTTGTTTAGCCGTTTATTCCTGCCTGCCGTTGATTCCCTAGTAGTCTCAGGACCTGAACCTCCCTCATCAGCAGCTAGTCACTACTCCAAGTCAGTAGATAAACCCTAAACCCTAAACCCTAAGCCCTAAACCTCTAAGGCCAGGTTATGTTAAATTAGAGTAGGTTGGGTTAGTAGATCAATGGGAGCCTCCAAAAGCCTCTCACTAGCAAGCCTGGAGCTTTTAAGCTTCCCCAAGTCAACTACTAGGGTTTGGGGTTTCCTGCTTCCAGGTTCCTGAGCACGTGGAAGTATTGTGTCGTTGAGCAAATTTCGCTTCACGCTGTTGCGGGTTCAGGGTTTAGGGTTAAGGGGCGTGCAGTTTCGGTTTGAGCAAGTTACGGTTCGGCACTATCACCTCTCCGTAACAGAAGCCCAGAACTCATAGCCACCCATATACAACCGCTGAGACCCTGAACCCTAAATGCTTAATTATAGCCCCAGAGAGCCGAAAACCCCATTCAAGGAATTAGACAGTAGCCCCTAGAGCAACCCTTCTAGCACCATTATCATACCCTTACAGCCCTAAACCGCAGCGCCTGTAAAAGCCGCGACCGGCTGCAGGCATTGGACGCCGACTTCGACCCCGCGCATCACGAGGCGATGTTCGCTATGGAGATGCCGGGCAAGGACTTTCTTCGTAGTCGTTTCTTTGTTTAGAGGTTGCTTTTGGGGGTTCGTTCAGTTTAGGATTTGAGCCCGGTTTGTGCAGTTGGTTCTGCGGATCCAGGGTTTCTCGATCCGCCTAAACTCTCATATGGGAGCGTGGCCAGTTTCCAATTCCATGCTTTTGGATTCATGACTATAGTTTGGTATACTATACGCTCAAAGCCAATTCTAATCCTCAAGCTCCCTGTAGCACACCTTCGGCCCTCAACGCAAAAACTGACACCTGCAGGAGCCTAACAAGATTTTTCACGTCATGGAGTCGCGGACTGAGCTGCAAAATTGCGGCTTAGGCCTAAGGTTTGGGGCTTGAGCACGGGCTTGATAAGGCTTCAAAAGGGGCTTATAGGCGTAGCGCTAAAAGGACGCCGGGTTCTTCAAGCTGAGAGTCTTGAGGGTTTCGGCTTGCCGTTTAGGTTCTTCAGGCTTGTGTACTTTTAAGCCCTAAACCCCAAAACTCTAAAACCTAAACCCTTACCCCAGACCCTAAGCTCTAAACCCTAACCCTAAACCCTAAACTCTAAACCCTTAACTCTGAACCCTAAACTCTAAACCCTTAACTCTAAACCCTGAACCCTAAACCCTAAACCTTAACCTGGATGAAGCCTGGGGCCCTGCTCGGCTCCCACGAATCGCAAGGACCCGCTATCGAACTCTCATGATGAACCCTTTCCAGAACCTCGGTTTAGGGTTTAGGGTTCAGGGGTTCAGGGGTTTAGGGTTTAGGGTTTAGGGTCTAGGGTTCTTAACAGGACTTTTTTGTCGGGATCCAGTGGAACAGGGCGTTTCAGGCTTCTCTGAGCACAAGAAGGTAGAAATCACCGCAAAACTTGTACTAAAGGGCGGAGACATGTCGCTGGCGCAGATCGAGCTTTCTTGCCATACACCCGACAATCTCGACAAAAAGGCTAGAAGTCCAGCAGCACACATGATCTACTCTCTGGATGGAGCTGGAACCCAGGGCCCAGATCCACACAGACTACGGTGAAGGTTCGGGTTAGGGTTTATGGTCTAGGTCTTTTAGTTTTTTGCATGTCGGGTGTAAGGGGTTTAGGTATGTCGAGCAGGCTCCTGAGTATTCTCCCGACCTTGTCAATTTTCCTGCTGCGACTTCGTCTGGATCGCGCTACTGCAGCCTGCACCCTAAGCGCTAAACCCCATGTACACCCCAATCCAAAAAGACTTTAATGGAACCCTACAAAGCCTTTAAAATCTGACGTGAAAGCCCTACGCCCTTAAACCCTAAACCCCTTAACCCTAAAAACCCTAAACCCTAAACCCTAAACAAAAAATAGCCCTAAGCGCTAAACCTGATCCCGCAAATCTCAAAGAGTCGAAGCTTAGACTCCTCCCTGCAAACCTTTATTCATCAGCTTCAGTCGTCTAACCAGTGGTTGTGGGGTTCCCTTGGCTCTTTAGCTCCTTATTTAATAGGGATTATCATCATCCCTGGCTCCAGAGCTCCTCCAATATCAATGGAAAGCCGTCTAAACGCAACTATCTGGGAATGGGGGAATGGATCCCCAAAATAGTCCTGAAAGGAGCTAATCCACTCCCCCATTCCCTACTAAGAACCACGGAGTCATTCACCAGCTTCAGTCGTCTAAACGCAAAAATGCCCCTAAACCCTACATCCTAAACCCTAAACCTTGAAACAAAAACATGCTCCGACCCCTGACGCCAGAAACCAAAACGCAAAAACACCTGAAGCCTAAAGACTCCTAAACCCTTAAACCCTAGACCCCAAGCCGTAACTCAAGGCTCAGGCCGCCTCCGTGAATGGGCGGCTTAACCTCGATGGCGCAGACCTTTCTGCCCGGCCCTGCCGAAGCTGGGGGAGGCTATCGGGGCACCACCACCAAATGCAGGGAATTCTTTCAAGAAGCAGGCAAGGAGAACCTGCAGATGTCCAAGATAGTTGTGTACCCAGGATCCCGGAAACCCCAGGATTGCCAGCTCTTCAAGCGCCTGCTGATGCGAAGGAATCTTGGATAGTGAAGTCACAGGACAAGTTCCAAAGGATGCTGGAGACTCTCTGCGCCACAGTCAACCCGAACATGACTGGGATGAGGTTCGCGGTTAGATGCCAGCTTGTTCATGACACATGGCAGTACACTGACTTGCAAAGAATTTTTCAGGGAGCAACGAGGCTGAAAGCAATTGTCATGCTTGTTGCTGATGTGTTATGCCATTTTGTCACCGGGATGCAGTAAACCATTGATGCTCGAGTGCTCCGGACAGCCAATTCCAGAATGGACATGCGAGTGCCAGATCGGAAGAGGACGACTTTCAACAGGCTTTTTCACAGGATGGGCTTCGCAAACAAGTTCACAAACCGGCAGACTTACAATGCAGAGAATGATGACCTGCCATGGTGCATCCAAGGGGCACAACTTGAGCAGCCCTCAGATGGTAGGAGGAGAGTTGACCTGCTAATGTGGGTGAAAGTGCCGAGAGTGGATGTCCAACGTTGCACCAGCCCCAGAGGCAAAGTTCAAGGATGTGCGAGCTTTGGAGGTCCAGGCAAGCCAAACAAATTCGCTAAGGCAGACTGGCTGCTGAAGTTGCCTTCCCCAGACAGGCACAGCTCCTCCAAAATGCTGCATACAATACGAAATGGAGGCGAATGCCTTCAGGCAGGGGCAGGAAGGGGGAAACATCCCGTAGTGCTACCAGCATCATGGGGGGCACGTCAGTGGGCTTCCTTGGCAGGCCTGTTGCGGAGGCAACTTTGAACTTGGCCGCCAAAAGACTCATGCGAGACTGCCCTGCCCTGCCCTAGCTTCATGGCTTGGTTTCCCCCCCCCCCCCCCTAGACCCCCCCCCCCAGGAAAGCTTTAGCAAGCGCTTGCCAAGGCCTTGGCAAGACATGCGTCACAGTAGCACCTCGGTAAGGCCTTTGTTTTTTGTCTAGTTTGCGCAGATGATGCGGCCAAGCTGTGTGAGTTTTCGACTTAGGGATGTTAGGCTTCTAGACAGGCTCCAGCCTCTGCAAGACCTCAGCCTCAGCAAGGCCTTAGTAAGGCCTTAGTAAGGCCTCGGTAAGGCCTCGGTGAGGCCTCGGTAAGGCCTTGAACAGTCTTGGAAAGGCTTTCAAAGAGCCCAACCCCCCCCACCCCACTCCTCCCCACCCCAGCCCACCCCACCCCGCCCAATTGAGCCCGAACGATTCTCACGAGACGCTCGGAGGTATCGCTTGAAGGGGGGGGGAGGGTGTAGGGGGGGGGGGGAAACAAAGCCATGATAGCTTAGAGACGACCAACATACGTACATGCTGGTTGCAATTCAAGATCTGCGCAAAAAAAAGCTGTGTCTGTGCACCACGGGTTAAATTCAGCATCATGCTTCATTTCCGCAGGCATTGTTTAGGTACCCGTCGTTCTTGGGCTTTCCAGCACTGTTGCGTTTGGTTTAGGGTGTACGGACTTGCAAACTCGTTTCAGAGGCCTTGTTTGGTAGTGTTAAGCCCTATGACCCAAGCCACACAAAGAGCCCAGGCCTGGGTACATGATCCACGACCGCACTCTCCGGGCGGCCAAGGTTGGAGTGACGAAGTGACGATGCGGCACGGGCCCTGATTTTGAATTTGAGGGTTTCATAGTTGATGTGGGGGTTTAGGGGTTTTGGGGGGGGTTTCGGATTCGAATTCAGAGCTTTTAAGGGTCTAAGGGCCAGGGTTTGTGGTTCAGGGGTTGCTGAGCGTTTAGGGTTTTAGGGCGATTAGGGTGTTTAAGGCTTTGGGTTTTGAGTGTGATGTTAAGGCAAAGATGCCCGCGTGCCCACCACAGTTTTCAGTCGTGGCCTTTCGACCGAGGGTTTCGGGGTTCGTGTTCGTGGGTTTTGGAACGTCCTGGTTTAGTGTTTTCGGGGCTTTGGTGTTTGAATATTAATGTTTTTGCGGATTTTAGGGCTCTGGGGTTTAAGGCTTGGAAAGAAAGTGAATCACCTAAAGCCGTATCAGCACCCCTGTATCTAAGTAAGCAAGACCAGAAAAAACATGTTCTGCCTCGATGCTTCCGAATACTTCTTCATAGCTTGCAGCTTCACGGAAGTTTCGGTACCGTGCCTCTGCATATCCCCAAATCCAAAGCCCAAAACCCTACACCTTCAACCCTAAACCCTAAACCCTAAACAACCCTTTCTTCCGGGCCTAGGTGCAGCCTGGGCCTCCTAATCAGGAGAGCAGGTACCTCCTCAAGGGTGAGCAGTTGCATTGTAGCACCCGGCTTCTTGAGGAGAGTTGCAGAGGGAAGCCTCGAAAAAGCGGATCGTAGCTCGGGGTTTTGATTTTCAGCTTTTAAAGTTGTGCTGCGCATTCTAAACTCCCTGTACATGAGGGCTTTGGGTTCAAGGGTTGCGGGCGTTCAGGATTTGTCCTAGGGTTTCGGGTTCAGGGGCTTAAGCCATGATGTCGCGGTGTGGGGTTCTGTGCTTCGGCTGAGATGGGTAGAGGTTTGAGCCACGAGCATCAAAGGTCGCTGAATTCACACAAGGAGTACTCCGAAGAAGGTGGCAGCGGTCCGTGCGAAGCAGCCTCTTAAGTCAGGGACTTTGGGTGTACGGGTTTAGAGTTTGGGGTGTCGGATCAATAAGTGTTTAGACCGTGAACTGCTGTCACGGGTGTATTGTTTATGGTGGGGGGGGGGGGTTGCGGGCGCATCACAATTAGGGCGTGTTTCCGGTTGCTGACGGGTGAGTCCGAGACTCTAGACTCTAAGCTTAAAACCCTCAAGCGCAGATCCCAGCCTTATACCCCCAAGCCCGAAATATAGAGGTCGGTAAAGGAGTAGTGGTAGCATCGGCCCTGCCGCTCGCGAGATCTATGGTGCATAAGTGTCGCTGCTGCATCGCAGCAACCCCTACATCCTAAACTCTAGACCCTAAACCCTACACCCTGAACTCTAGATCCTAAACCCTAAAATGCTCGACCCTAAACCCTGAACTAGCAAGCATGTGTGGGGTTCAGGGTTACGGCGACGAGAATAGCCCGCTTTCCAAGTGTCCTCCTGGAGAACCATTGAGGCCCCCCAAACGGGCCGCAGGGCGGGTTCTTTGAAAGCATCGGTACCGTATTCCGCCGTCCTTTTGTCAAGGGCATACTATATGATACGGGCGTACTAAACCCTTGATTAACCCGTAAGCCTTAACTAAACCCATAGCCCTAAACCTCCAAACCCCTATAGAACCTTAAACCTAATTCCCTAAATCCTAACCCTAAAACCCCCAAACCCTAAACCCTGAAGCCGCCTCAAGCCCTCAACCTAGACTCTGTAGGGTTCATCGGGATCCCCCCTATCTTCTGAAACCCTAAACCCTAAACGGCCCTATATAGCGAATCTCAGAAAGTTGGAACATGGGTTCAGGAGGATTAGTGCTAGGATCCCTTATACTTTACATTAAGGGCACGAGGATACTAATGTTCCAACTTTCTGGCTTCTACTGCATCTTCTGAAACACCGGCATAAACGTCAGGATCCTTCTCTTGGGGTCCCGTTTCGGACCCACCTCAACCGGAAAGCCAAAAACCCTAAAGGGTTTAGGGGTTTAGAGGTTTGAGGTTTAGGTTTTAGGGATTAGGACAGTGTGAGGCTTGGGGGGTTTAGGGTTTTGGGCTGGACCTTCTATAATAACCCGAATCCTAAACCTTGAAAAGATCCATCCGCGTGGTTCAAGAACGTGTCTATAGTAGTTACAAGCTCTTTGTGGATCGGCCTGGACAGAAACCATGGTCGGGCCCTGAGGTCCTGTTAGGGTTTAGGATTTAGGATTCAGGGCTTAGGGTTTGACCTACAAGGAAGTCATAAGGAGGAACATAAAGAAGGTGGGTTCTTTGGGGTCCTCTAAGGTTCTTCAACGTATTCCTTTCAGCCTTACTAAAGGTGTTTCATGATTGTTGAAGGTTTTAGAGGGTGTTCCTTGTGACCTGCCTTTGCAAGGGTTCATAGAAATATGATGTTCATGACGGGTCCCAGGGGCTTGGAGAGGGCTCTGACATTAACGCCCCTAAGGGCTCAGGGGTCGTAGGGGCTACTGCAGGAGCCTTAACAATTACCTACCTATTGTGGGGGCTCCTTATAATGATCATAGTACAACATGCCACAAAACCCTATTCTCCTTATTAAGGCCCCTACGTCATAGTAGCCTTCTAGGATCCCTTATAGTATCTCTTAAAGGACCCCGTTAAAGGAAACCGTGTTCTAATTTTTTAAGTTCTTCAGAGTCTAGGGCGTTGCGATGTTCAGCTTAGGGCTTACCGGTTTAGGAGACCAAGAGCCCTTAAGGGTTTAGGGTTTAGGGGTCTCGAAGGAGGAAGCCCCGCACCGTGAGGCCGTGACCTCCCTGGTGCTTAGCAGGGAATGGGGAATGGAGTATGGGGACTCTTATTGGGGATTATACCCAGAGACTCCAACATCCCTCAATGATAATTTAAGGTATATTCCTCAATGAGGGGATATTGAAGTCTCTGGGTGTAGGGACTACTATACGGATCCATTCCCCCGTTCCCTACTAAGCACGAAGGAGGGATGTTTCGGTTTAGAGTTTGCTTGGAGGGTCGGGGGACTTAGTAAGTAGGTAGCAAGTAGACTTATAAGTACCCTAAAAGGGACCCTAATTGGGGTTATGGTACTTATAAGTTCCTAAAATAACCAGTTACTAAGTCCCCTAAAGACCCTCCAAGTACTCTAAACCCTAAACCCTATACCCTTATAGAATCCCTTATAGATCCCTTTAAAGGGACCCTTAAGGAACCCATTATGTTACTAAGGCCCCCGACCATCCAAGTAGGGTGCAGGGTCTGAGGTGCTTCAAGGCGCAGGGTGAAGCCCAGAGACTCCAATATCCCTTAATTAAGGAATATTCCTTAAACCATATTAGGGATCCTACTATAAATTAAGGTATATTCCTTAAATCATATTAGGGATCCTACTATAAATTAAGGTATATTCCTTAAATCATATTAGGGATCCTACTATAAATTAAGGTATATCCCTTAATTAAGGGATATTGGAGTCTCTGGGAGGCTTCAAGGGCCAGGGCCCAGGCTTTAGGGTTTGCCTTAGCCTACCAAACCCGATTGGCTTTTAGATTCTCATGATAAGCCCTAATATGGAATCTTTAGGGGCCCTACGAACATGTAGGTTTTGGTAGGTCAAGGTAGGGTTTTGGGTTCAGGGCGCCTGGTGAAGGGTTCAGGGTTCGACGTCCCAGCCCTCAGAGTCGGTCCATGGGTACTTGACAAAGCTGCTGAACAGTCCTTCAAGTTTAGGGTTTGAGGGGTTTAGGGTTTAGGGTTTGAGGTTTAGGGTTTGTAGATTTAGGGTTTAGGGTAATCTGCCAGCCGCCGTGCTGACCACATGATGTGGGGGTCGAAATACTTCGTAACAGTTCCCATTGCAGCCCCTAATATAGTGAAGCCGCAAGAAACAGCTCGAATCACTGTTGATGATACAAATCCTGCATGACCTTAAGGACCCCAAACTATGGGAATTATCGTATATTCCTTGTTATGGGTAATGCAGGGTTTATATCATCAACCGTATTAATATCAACCTACATGAGCTCCATGCTTCCTCGGATGGCACCTTCCCCACCTTTGCCCTGGCCCAGCTGGGTAAATTCTAGATAACAAACTCACCACGTAGATAGCCAGGAAAACTGCGATGTTTGTTTCAAACACAGTAAGTATCCCGTCGTTTAACCGGAGGTTCATAGCAAATTATCAGAGGGGCACCTGGCTCATAAGTCGATATGGCTGTGCTTACCTTGCTAGAACCTTGCTTGGCTCCGTGACGCGTTGACCGCATAAAGTACCCAGCAACCATCCTAACACTCAACTTTTAAACCCCATGACCCTGCACCCGTAAACCCCTGAACCCTAAGCCCAAAATCCCGACGAAAGCCCAGAGCCAGGACAGTGTATCGCAATGCCACATCCCAAAAGGAAGATCCCCGTATTGCTTAGCAAGGCGATACCAAATCTCAAAGCGACATCCTTCATAATTTGTCCTCTTGGTCTTTGCACCATGCTCTGATATGGTGGATACGATGCTTCCTTAGTTTGCTAGCTTGTACTTAGTTCCTTCACAGAGGTGTAAACCCCGAGCCCTCAACCCTGAACCAAATAAATCCCATTCCAAGGTGAAGAGCACGTCCTTGACGAAGCAGGAGCTTGTCGATGTTCTCGGCTGCGCGAAAACCAGCAAGGAGAGGGCCGTGGGTGTCGAGGGTCTTGAAGGGCTTAGAGCCCAGGGACTCCAATATCCTTTAATTAAGGAATATTCCTTAACTCATATTAGGGATCCTACTATAACTTAAGGCATGTTTCGTAATTAAGGGGTATTAGAATCCCTAAACCCTACAGATCCCTTATAGGTTCCCTGAAGGAACCCTAAGCCTAGGTATATTCCTTAGTTAAGGGATATTGGAGTCTCTTAGAGCTAGAAAGGCTTCGCCTTTGGGGTTTAGGGTTTAGGGTTTAGGGTTTAGCGTTTCGGGTTTAGGGTTTATCAAAGGGGAAAAGGAGGGACCCTTAACGGGGACCCCTACCCTATAATGGGCTACATAATGGGTATATAATGGGTATATAATAGCTATATTAAGGGTATATACCTAAGGGTCCTTATTAAGGGTCCCTCCTTTTACCCTTGGAGTTTAGGGGCTAGGGTTGGGGGCTCAATTGGTTTAATTAATGGGCTTAGGGTTGAGTGTCCACGCAGGACCGTCATCATTTCTAGAACCTGCATGGCTTCAGTGGTTTAATTGATGAGCTTACGGTTTAGGGTCCACGGAGGACCGTCATGATTTCTAGAACGAGTTTTAGGACTTAGGGCTTGGAAGTTCACGGTGTGGGGTTTCGGGATTCGGGCTATGGTTTAGAGCAAAGGGTGACGAACGCCTGTTCAAGTCGAGACACCGTGCTTCTTTGTACGTGCCTGTATGCCAAAGCTTCGTGACCAACCCTAAACCCTAGACCCGAAACCCAAAACCCTAATCGATGATGATGAGGGTGTCTTTTTTTGAGGGCAAGCCTTTCTATTCGAGACCAGACCTCTGCAGAGCGACAGTCCTGTGCCCTTTAAAGAAAAGACCCTAAAACCCTAGACCCTAAACCCTAAAACCTTAAACCTCAAACCGTAAACCCTAAATTCCTAGACCCTAAAACCTTAAACCTCAAACCCTAAACCCTAAATTCCTAGACCCTAAAACCTTAAACCCTAAACCCTAAATACCTAAACCCTAAACCCCATTCCTAAGACATTGAACTCAGAATCTCAGCGACTCCCCAGTCCCAAGTCCCTACCAAGATCTCCTGAGCCCCCCAATATCCCTTAATGACAGGGGAAAAGGAGGGACCCTTAATTTAGGGCTCTTAGGGATCCTTTAAAGGGATCTATAGGGATTCTATAAGGGTATAGGGTTTAGGGGTTTGGGGGTTTAGGGGGTTTAGGGGAAAAGGAGGGACCCTTAATGGGGACCCCTACCCTATAATGGGCTATATCATGGGTATATAATAGCTATATTAACGGGATATACCCAGGGGTCCTTATTCAGGGTCCCTCCTTTTACTTTTGGATTCAATCATAGTAGGGATCCCTAACATGATTTAAGGCATATTACTGAACTCCCTTCTAGAACCCTTTATAGCTCCCTTTAAGGAACCGTCTAAAGTACTGTTAGGTATATTCCTTAACTAAGGGATATTGGAGTCTCTGGGATCTCCCCCTAACCTGGTCCCCAGGAGCGCAACCGCGCGGTGAAGCTTTTGAAGCAGTTCGATCCGATTCCGCGCTACGAGTTCGATGATGAAGGCTACAAGTCGAAGATGAGGCGGGGCCTGAGAGAGCTTAGGTTTAGGGTTCTGGATTTCGGGTTTAGGGTTTTGTTTAGGGTTTGGGATTTAGGGTTTAGGGCTTACGGTGTTTAGGGTTTAGGGTTCGGGGGTTTGTGGGCCTGAGACAGGGTATTCCGAAGCAGGTTCTGGACTAATCGAGCAGTAGTGACTGTGTGTAGCAACTGCACCCTTCGTTTACAAGCCGCAAGCCCAAAGCTAAGCACACAAGCACCAACCAGAAAGGTGTGCGTGTGTGTTTTTGTGCATCTGTCGGTGTGTGTAACTCGTCTGCGTACTTTCTCGGTGTGCTCTCGTCGGCTGTTGTTTGCATGCGGCTGCACAACACTGTGTATAAGAGCCTGAATCCGCATTGGCATTGTTCATCGATAATTCATCCCGTCGCAATCGTGCTTCTGAGACATACCCTCCAGCACCCTGTCCTGCTTATTTGCGTTGGGGAGTTAAACACTTTCGACTTGGTGCAAATTCAGCATGATGCAGCCGAAAACCGTTGTCAAACTATGGTCCGGCGAAGGAAAAACCCAAACCCTGTTCTAGTGGTAAACCTGAAAGGAGGTTATGGCATAATATACCTGCCGAGACTTTTTCTGAATAGATCGGCCTCGATTGTCCGGTGGTAACGGAGAGCACTAACGGCAAGAGGAGGGCGAGCAAATCAGTGGTAACTCATGGAAGCAGCGGTAACAGGTAGCTGTTGTAGTTGTTTCAATCAGCGTCGGACAAGAATCACTAGATGAAGATATATTGTAACACCGGCCAGAACATGCACTGCTAACATATTCAAGTGCAACAGGTGTACCAGACGTAGTCATACAGCAGCACGTGTCAACAATGGTAGGAATTGCCGTGGCAATAAGAACGCTTACTAGTAGTAGTCATAGGCATAGTCATGGGAATGTAGCTCTAGCGGTAGAATCTTAGCGCTGGTAGCAACAAGACGATTTCCATGAGCCCTGACGAAGGGCCTAATGTAGGAACCTGATTAAGAAACCATGGCCTTATAACCCCAAAAGCAGTAGGATTCATATAAGGAACCCAAATAAAGGCCCAAGGTTTCTTAATCAGGTTCCTATATCAAACCCCCACAAAACCCATAGTACCCTTATAGTACCCTTTAAAGGAACCCTTATAGTACCAATAATAAAAAAGGAACCCTTATAGACCCCTTTAAAGGAACCCTACTCTCGCTGCGGTGTATTCCCGGCTGGCCGTCCGATTGCTGGCCCAGTACCCGTAAAATGAAGTAAAATCCTGAACCATAAAGCTTTAGCGATCTAAAACCCGTTAAACCCTAAGCCCTAACAGCCCATAAATCCTAAACCCTAAACTCCCAAGCGAGCACATCTATTCGCAAACGCTTTGAAGCCTGCAGCGCGGGCAGCTAAGGTCTACAAAGGCCTTGTAAAGCCATCAATCAGTAATAAACGACCCTATACAAACATCTGATATAATCTGATAGACCCATATGTGCAACCCTCGCAAAAACTTGAAACCAGATAAACCCTTCTCAAGCCCGATAGACCCGCAGAAAACTCTCTGCGAAGCGTTGGCACAAGCCTACAGCCACGGCTTCAAAGCCTTTCGTTCCCAGGCCGAAGAAGTACGTACAGACCGGCTTGTTTGTAGGGTTTAGGGTCTAGGGCAGCATAGTGACAGGAAGTCGAGAGGGTTCAGAGTTTCGACTGGGGTCCGCACATTGAGGTTTGACGGGTTGGTCGGGGGGACCCTAAGTAAGCCCTAAGCCCTAAACCCAAAGCCCCCAAAACCTTAAATCCGATGTTGTACCCGATCCGGAGATCCAAAAGACCGGGTATATGATTGCCCGAGTCCCCGTCTACGGTGCTACAGACGCGGGGCGAAATCTCTATCTCCGCAGAAAGGAGAGCTGCAAGGAGTTCGGCTTGAAGGCCTCCCAGATCTTGTCGGCCCTGTATGTCATTACAGGGGAAAACAACCGCCTATGCGCATGCCTGTGTACTCACGTGGACGACTTTCTATGGGCAGCGACTACTGAGGGGGAGCCTGTTATCCAGAACTTGTTAGACAAATTCAAGATTGGTCGTATAGAGACCTACAAATTTCGCTTTTGCGGGCGTGAATACGTCCAAGATATCGACGGGTGTATGCCGTACCCCGAATCCAGGATGAGAAAATCCAGTTGCGAGAACGTTTGATCGATCCCTAGTCATACTCATTCGGTTTTGTTTGCTCCATGCGCCAAGTCATGGAACCCAAAGCACAAGACCTTTTGCTATACTTTAGGTGCTGCCCCCATACAGTAAGAGTCTACCATAGGGCTGCTATTAAGGTCCTACTATACCCATATTATGAACATTATTCAACTATTCCTGAGCGGGGTACCACAGCCAAGGGTTACTATTGGGGGTCGCAAAGCCTAGGGCCTAGGCTGCCCCCAGCGCTGAAAGCGCCAAACTTCGCGCGCAGTCAGCAGCCTGAAGAATGCTAGAACCCAGAGATCCCAAAATCCCTTAATTAAGGAATAGACCTTAAATTATAGAGGCCTTACTATTAAGATTTAAGGTATATGCCTTAATTAAGGGGTGTTGGGTTCTCTGGGAATGAGCGGGGAGGTTGAGGGTGAGGTCCATCTCGGAGTGCTTTTTGCTGATTAAGGAGGGTTTTCCTGAAGCCTTACTCCCTTGATACGGTTGATGATATAAATCCTGCATTACCCATAGTAAGGAATATACCATAGTTCCCATAGTTTAGGATCCTTGAGGTAATGCAGATTTATATCATCAACAGTAGCTCTCATGCCTAAAGCATAGGCCGCCGCTCGGAGCCTCATCCCTAAACTGCTCACCTGGGAAGATGCCGGCCGAACCTCAAGCTTCCAACCCCTAGCCCCTAAAACCTAAGCCTTAGGGTTTAGGATTAGGGTTTAGGGGTTTAGGGTTCAGGGCTTTAGGGTTTAGGGTTTAGAGGTTTAGGGTTCAGGGTTTTAGGGTTTTAGGGTTTAGGGTTTAGGGGTTTCGGGTTTAGGGTTTTAGGGTTTAGGATTTAGGGTTAGGGGGACCCTCGGGGATATAGACCCTCTCAATAAGGTCCCTGTTAAGAGAGCCAGAAGTAGGGATCGGAAGGGGTACCCTTTAAGGGGTCTCCCTCATCATGCTACCCTAAGCTCTAAGCGCTAGATCCGTGAAGCCTAGGACCCAGGGATGTAGACCCTTCCCTTAACACGCATTACCATCTTCATGAGGATGATAAAAAGGGCCCTGATTTTAGGGTGCATAAAGAAGGAAATGTATCAGCCAGGGGTTTACATGACCTGCTCAGCAATAATGCAGGGCTTCATGTATTGGCCCAGTAAGAGACATGTAAGGCCAATACTGGTTATACCGAAAAGAGCACGAGGCACCTAGGCCCTAAACCTAAGTCGTGACACATTAAAGCTATACCCCTTAAACCCCTTAAGCCCGAAAACTCTGGACACTAAGCTCTAAAAAATGAAACCCCGAAGCCAGGACTACCTGCTGGGCTACATGTGCTTCCGCTGCGACAAGGTGAAGCAGTCGAACTTCAAGGCCCGAGGATGACACCTTAAACCCTTTCAGAGTTTGGGGTAGCTTAGGGGTACTTCGAAATAATTTTGAATTTTTGGTTGTTATGATCACTAAGAAGCAGCTCAAATTACAATTTTTGCTAGGGTTCTTTTGGGGTTGGAGCACTTCGGACGTGTGTACGAGGATTGGTGTCCCTTTAGGCCCTATACATGCTATGCTAAGGCTATGCTAGGGCTTAGGGGCTTTTGGTGTGCGAAACGGGGGGCTTGTGGTTTTGGGACTTCTGGGTTCAGGAGGCCCAGAGACTCCGATATCCCTTAATTAAGGAATATATTCCTCAAATCATATTCGGGATCCTACTATAAATTCAGGTATATTCCTTAATTAAGGGGGTATGATAATCCCCTAAACCCTATAGATCCCTTATGCATCCCTTAAAGGAACCCTAACCCTAGGTATATTCCTTAATTAAGGGGTATTGGGATCTCCTAACCCCCCCTAACCCCAAACTCTGGGGGAGCCCTAAACCCTAAACCCTAAACCCTAAAGCCCTAAACCCTATAGACCCTAAACCCTAAACCCTAAACCCTAAAGCCCTAAACCCTAAACCCTAAACCCCTAAACCCCTAAACCCTAAACCCTAAACCCCTAAACCCCTAAACCCTAAACCCTAAACCCTAAACCCTAAAGCCCTAAACCCTAAACCCGGGGTTCCAGGGCTTCTTAGGTCGCTCGGTTGCGAGATTCCTCTCCCAAGGTAAAAGGCGGGACCCTTAATAAGGACCCCTAGGTATATACCCTTAATATAGCTATTATATACCCACTATATAGCCCATTGTAGGGTAGGGGTCCCCATTAAGGGTCCCTCCTTTTCCCCTTCGATCCTCGGGTTCGGGCAGCAGAGGTTGGGCTTCAGAAGATCGGGGCTCCAAAATCCCAGAGACTCCCATAGCCCTTGATTAAGGAATATACCTAGGGTTAGGGTTCCTTTAATGGATCTATAAGGGATCTATAGGGTTTGGATTCAAATATCCCTTAGTTAAGGAATATACCTGAATTTATAGTAGGATCCCGAACATGATTTAGGGAATATTCCTTAATTAAGGGATATCGGAGTCTCTGGGATATTTGCACCCAAATCGTAGGATCCTTCGAGAAGGATCCTCTCAATAAAGTAGCCGAGTATTGTGCAACCTCCGAAGTACATTTTACCCGGCAGTGGCCATGGCACCTTCGCAGGTGATCTGGTCAACTTCCAAGGGAAACAAGCAGCTTTGCGCGGTGCCAAGTCTGTGGGTTCAAAAACGAGGTGTCTGTGTTAGTCTATGGGGAGAGCCTTAAACTGCTATACCCTGAACGGAACGAGCTCCTGCAAGCAAAATGTCAGCAAAGTGTGACCTCGAAAACATTTCTCAATCAGGGGTTTGCTGGTGAGTTTTAGCTTTAGGCCCTAAGCGCGTTTAGAGTTTGGGCTGGGGCTGTTTATGCTTCTACGGTGTAGCATCGGCTGGATACACTGCGCTTCGATTCCACCCTCAGCAATTTCTGCTTCTGCTAGTTACTACAGCCTGATGGCTTCCGTCCTGCAACCTGCAACCCGAAACCCTAGAGCTCCAAACCCAGGTAACAACACCGTAGAAGCTCTATGATTCACTTTTCAACCAGATTTTTTGGTTTTTGGTTTAAGGCTTAAGGTTAAGGTACCTCCCATGAGACGCCGGAACCCCAACCCCTGAACCTCAATCCTTGCACTCGAAATCGCGCAATTCATACAGTAGCCCTTGTAGTAACCCTTATTGTCCTCCCAACCCCTACACCCTGAAGCCTAAAGCGTAAACCTTACTTATTAACCTCGAGAACCTAAACACTAAGCCCTACACCTGAATACTTAAACACCCCAAGCGCGCACGCACGCTCAGAGCCTTGAGGCTACCCCTGCTACACACAGCTCGCCGAGCGCGAGGAGGTGGCCGTGATGCGGGCGGCCAACCAGAAGGCTGTTCAGGGTTTTGGGTTCAGGGTTTAGGTGTGTGTGTGTTGTATCATTCTGGCGGCAGAAATTCTATTCAGAGTTTCGTTTATCATGTTTTGCAGCTTTACTGGCCTCCGCAGACAATATGGTTTCGGGGATCCTGCTGAGACTCCGCTTCGAGTTCTTAACCCTGGACATTCCTTCGGGGAAAACCCTTAGGGCCCTAAGGTTTTGGGATTTAGCTCCTGGTGTTCAGGGTTCAGCGTTTTGTGTTTCCGGGTTTAGGGTTCAGCGGGTGCAGTGTGGAGCAACTTGCAGACCGTTTGTGCCGGCAAGAGAACTTTCATGACGACAGGGCAGCAAGCCCTTAAACCCACATCCAATGAGCTCTAAATCAAATGCTACCACCTCATGTACGCTACATACTAGAGCCGTAATGGACTTATGATCGTGGGAATTTGGACCCTAAAGCTAAACCCTAAATGTCTCAAAACTAAGCCCCAAACCCCTGTACAAGCAGCACGCCTTCCTTTTTGGGACCTAGGCACCCCAAAACCCAAAGCTCGAAATCCAAAACCCCAGCCACACACTCCGAAACCCAAAGCCCTATGCACTAAAATCCTACAGCTTAAACCCTAAACCTGTTTTTGGCTCAAGCGCGGAATCAACGGAATGCGAACATTTCCAAATTTAGAGTTTAGAGTTTAATTTGGAAAGTTGGAAGACTAAGGGAAACTGAGGAAGCTTGTGAAGACACTCCCTTACAGGCTCTCGAAGGATACTACCGGGAGACTTTCCTAAACCCTCAATCCTAAGCACCAAACCCTTATACCCTGAACCCCATAACCTTAACACGGGGCTCGCCACATTCTCGGCGAATCTTTCTGTGACGACTATGTCGAAGTCCTGAGCACGATGACCGTGTTGTGGTCTTTGTGTCAGAAGCCCTCCTCGGACACCATCGAAACCGCAAGCCTTAACCGGTTTACGGTTGGGTCTTTGAGCTTTGGGGCTCCCTTTTGTGGGTTTTAGGGGGTTTGCTGTTTTGCTTTGGAGTTTACTGTTTAGGGTTTTGAGGGTTTAGGTTCGTCTGAGTTTAGGGCGTGGGAGTAAGGTCGATCTTGATTTTGTTTTTTGTCGGAGCCCCCCAGCAGTTGTCCGAAGATGTCCTAAGGGTTACCGTTAGCATCTTCTATCCATGCAGAACAAAAATGTTGCACTAACAGAGAACCATGGGGACAAACAAGCACAAAGGTCCAGCATGGTAGCAGCAACAAGAAGTACGAACCTGAAGCTGTCAACCGTGGCAATGACGATGATGATCGCAGTACAATCATAGCTTGTATCGTGTCGGCACTTGTAGACCACTCATGAAACTCATTGTTTACAACCACAGTAGCCAATCGAACAATGCACTAACACATCGAGAATCGCGACAAACTCACCCTACACCCTGAACACCGAAAAACCCTAAACCCTCAACTCCCAAGCCACTGGAAAGAGAAGTGAACCCTAAGCCCAAAACCCTAAACCCCAAGACCAGGCCACCAAAGACCTTCAGCAACCACTAAGGCCATGCCCCCCCCCCCCCCCCCCCCACAGAGTCGTTGTAGAACTCCTTGAAGGGCATCCTGGAAGTAGAACTCACCCAAAAGCTCTTCAAAATTAACCCACCCTAGCCCTAAAACCCTAAATCCCTCAACCATGAACCCTAAATCCCACAGCCATGAACCCTAAAACCTCCAAGTCCTGAGGCCTTCCCCCTTAACCCAAGGGTAGAGCAGCTCTGAGAGCAGGCTGGGATCATCCCCAAGGGTTTCGGCCTCGGACTGACAGGCGCTGGGTACCCCGAACAATGCTGAGATGATTTTATCTCTCTATCTCTTTGTCTTGCTACCTCTCTGTCTCTCTATCTCTCTGGCTCTCTATCTGTCTCTCTATGTCTGTATCTCTCTCCGGCCTTACCTTCCTATCCCTAGCTCTGGCTCTGGCCTGAGCTCTGTCTATGAGTCGGTCTGTCTTTTGTCTGTCATGACCGTTGTCAGTCAGTCTGTCTGTCTTTATCTCCGTCGGTCTGTCTGTCTGCCTGTATCTGTCCCGAAGTCTCCCTGGTTCTCTGTGTGTCTATGTCTGTCTGTCTATCTCTCTGTCTGTGTCTGCCGCTGTATCTGTCTCTGTGTCTGTCTCCGTGTCTGTTTCTGTGTCTGTCTCTGTCTCTGCGTCTCTTTCCATCTCTGAGTATTTGTCTGTCTTTCAATCTCTATCTATAAAAAACATTCTCGGTTTTTCTGTGTATGTATATATATATATATATAAATATATATACAGAGCGATATCACAGTTTTGTAATGTTCAGTTCTCAAACGTTCAGACAGTTTGGGGCCAAGCTTGGAGTTTCCCGGGTTGTCTTGGGGCCAGAGACTCCAATATCCCTTAGTTTAGGAATATTCCTGAAATCATATTAGGGATCCTACTATAAATTCAGGTATATTCCTTAATTTATAGTAGGATCCCTACTATGATTTAAGGTATATTCCTTAATTAAGGGATATTGGAGTCTCTGGGCCCGGGCTTATGACGTTGAGCTGCTGTGGCCGGCAGGCCGAAACACCGGTCACTGTAACCCAGGAATGAATCCTCCAGGTCATGACTTCGCATGTTGAGGTTCCCATTGTTCTAATCTAACCAGTGGTTTTGGGGGTTCCCTTGGCTCTTTAGCTCCTTATTTAATAGGGATTATCATCATCCCTGGCTCCTTAGCTCCCCCAATATCAATGGTTAGTAATCACCGCAATTGTTGTTCCTATCACTTTTTTTTCCACGCTGTTATGAAAGGAAGCCCGCTGGAATGAACAAATTACGTGAAGCCTCTCAGTGGTACGCTTGCCCTGTTTCTGGCTCAATCCTTCACCGCCGAAGAACCACTAAGCAAAATCTAGTGCCCTTGCCGCAGCATGGTCATGGGGGAGAGTCCAACCCTGAACCCTAAGCTTCCCAGAGACTCCAATATCCCTTTAATCAAGGGATATACCTCAAATTATAGTAGGATCCTTAGTATGCTTTAAGGTATATTCCTTAATTAAGGGATATAGGAGTCTCTGGGTTTACGCGATTATCCGGACAGGTGTGGTGGGCGAGAACGGACAGCGAATGTAAGCCGAGAGGCAGATGCTTCATCCGTACCTGGGTATTTGTAATTATGTGACGGCAGTTCGGTTTAGGGTTTAGGGTTTAGGGGTGACGGCAGTTCGGTCCCCCAACTTATTATGCTGCTTTTCAGGACTTCTATGGTAACCACGCTTGAGTCTTGAGATGGTTCCAAACCTCAAACCTTGAACCCTACATCCCGACCCGCTAGCCTTTATAACTCTGCAGTAGAAGCCCCAAAGTTGGAAACCCAATAGCCTCAATCTCTAAGAGTAATGTATAAGGAATCCCAGCACTATTTGGCCTTAATCGGGTTTCCAACTTTATAGGGTTTACTGTAAGAAAAGATGAGTCTGTCTTGCCTCTGGGCCCCTTAGCCTTCTGACAAGAGTGCTGCACAGAGCCACGGAGCCCCTTGGCCGACCCAAGGCAGCAGACCCCAGGAATTTTGGGGTCAGTAAAGATTTGGGGTTATTATGTGGGTGGTTGTCAAAATGAGGGTCCTTTTTTGGGTCCTTAACAACCAACCATGTAGATTACGTCAACATGCGGTTGCTTTCGAGGTTACTTTCAGGGAGACGATTCGGTTTGCTCTGAGGCTCGTAGGCTTGCTACGGTCAAGCTAAACTTCCTAAGCCGTAAAGCCTAAACACTAAATCCGCAGCGCCACCCCAACTTAAGACAAACACCTTAAACCCTAGACCTTAAAGCCAAAACCATAGAGCCGAGGAGTTAGAGTATATGCCCATTATATAGCCCACTATAGGGTAGGGGTCCCCATTAAGGGTTCCCTGCTTTTCCCGTTTGAGTTATGAGGGGTTCATCGTTTTAGGTTTACTTGGAGGGTCGGGGGACTTAGTAACTAGGTAGTAAGTAGACTTATAAGTACCCTAAAAGGGACCCTAATTGGGGTTATGGTACTTATAAGTCCCTAAAATAACCAGTTACTAAGTCCCCCGACCCTCCAAGTAGGGGGTCAGGGGCGCAGTTCTGGAGTCGAGGTTGGGTTTTAGGTTTTAGGGAGGTCTTTGGGCGTCAGGGCTTTTTAGAGTTTAACAGCTTTATACCTTTAGGGCATTAGAGTTTTAAAGCTTTATACCTTTAGGGTTTTAGAGTTTTGAAGCTTTATATCTTGAGGGTTTTAGGGCTTTACGTTGTTAAGGTTTTTGGGGGTTTGTGGTTTCTGAATCTAGGGTTTCCAGCATTCAACGTGCAGGGGTTCAATGTCTAGGATTTGTTCAGGGTCAAGGAATTCGACTTAGCAGCCGCAAAAGCCAGCGTTGGTAATCATAACCGGGGGATTGCAGGGGCAATGTGCTCTGTGCAGCTTCAACAGGGGCAGGTGAGTTCGTCTCCAAAAGGTGTGCATGATGCGCCCATCCGCGTGGCAGAGGAAAACCGAGAAGCAGATCAGGGCTTCACAAAGTTACTGCAATAATTATCGGTAGGGTTCAGGGTTTAGGGCTTATTGTCTAAGATTTAGGGTTTAGCGTCTATGAGGGTACTAGAAGGGTTTGGGGGATAATGTAGGACGCTCCGCCCCTATAGGTTTCCCTTGTACGCTGTACCCTTAGGGTGTTAGTCAAGCCTCGGCAAGGCTTCGTCTGGCGATCCGGGGCCGCACAACCCCCAAAGTCTAAAGCCTCAACCCTAAGCCTTCTATTGGTTTGGGTTTAGGGTTGAGGGTTTAGGTTTCCGCACCTGCACTTCCGTGACATCTTGGTGATAAAACCTGAAACCCGAGACCCCAATATGGCGCATATGGGGTTGCAGCACAAAGAAGCACCCTATATATGGGCAGCCTGTAAAAAGGATGCATGCTATTCAGTGTTCTCTATGAATTTCCCTTATTTGGTGAAGCTTTCATACATGGGCTTCTGAGTGTGCTGCTGCAACCCTTGACTGATTCTGAAAAACAGAGTTGTAGTCATCGACATCGAGGCCTCTGCCTCTGCGAAGCTGTGGTGATACCGGAAGAAACCCCGGCAAATCACAACCCTTGATCCTTCGATCCAAGGGGAAAAGGAGGGACCCTTAATGGGGACCCCTAGCCTGCAATGGGCTATATAATGGGTATATAGTAGCTGTATTAAGGGTATATACCTAGGGGTCCTGATTAAGGGTCCCTCCTTTTACCCTTGGATTCGAGCCCCTTGAGGTTTAGGGTTTGGGGTGTCGGGTTCTCTGCCCTGAGCCCTGCACCACAGGTCCCGCACCAAAATCCCTCCGTAGGGTTCTTCAATCGCTAGGCATCGCCTAGGTCCGAAGTCCATTGAACCCTTAAGGAAATTGAGGTACTTGGATGAACTCACCACACCCTGCTTTCCTTTCGTACGGACCGAACACAAACGATCATACATTGATGCACAGTTCTTCGAGACCCTTCAAGACGCAGTTGTTATAGCAAGGTGCTGTAGAAACCTGGAGGGGCTCCTATAGACCCTAGCCACAGCCCTGAACCCCAAAGCTCAACAAAAAACGAGAGCACTATATCCGAGCCCTTAACCCAAGATTCTAAACTTTCTAAACCCTAAACCCCGAACCCTCAAACTCTGAAGCAGTAAAGCGCCAAAACCCCAAACCCGAACCCCTAAGACCCTAAGACCCTCTAGCATTCAAACGCTAAAGCTAAACCCTCGAGCCCTTAACCCTAAAGCCCAAAACCCTAAAACCCGAAAAACCCTAAACGCTAAACCCTAAACCCCCAACCCCAAAAACCCTACCCTAAAACCCTGAAGCCTTGAAACCCCAAAACCCTTTAATCCTAAGCCCTCAATATGCTTGTGGGTTCACAGCCATCTGGCCCAAGAGTTGATCGCTATCGAAGCGAAGCGTGCAAGGTTTTCCCAACTTTCCCAACACTTGACTCACAGAGAAGCCTGGGCTTAGGGTTTTAGGGTAAGTAGCAAGACTACTCTTAGGGTATAGAAACCTGACTAAATATACCCCAAAACCACATTCCCATTATTAAGGCACCTGCAGCAAAAAAGAAGACTGAGGAAGTAGCACTGCTATTCTTAGAGTTCCGGGTTATGGTCATACAATAATCCTCCCACGCGCCCTAAAGCCAGAAATCCTTAAACCCTGAAGCCCTAAACCCAAACCGTAAACCCTTAAACCCTGAAGCCGTACATCCTAGAACTCAGAAAAATCAAAGTCCCATTTGAGGACGTCCTGAAGATAGCAGGAATGAACTCTGGGATTCCAAGCATTAATCCCAGAACTCTTAGATGCCAAAGCCTAACGGCCTAAAGCCTCTAAACCCTCAACCCTTGAACCCCTAAACCCCGAAGCCTAAACCCCCGAACCGCTGATCCCCTAAGTCGTAAGCCCAAACGATGTCCGGCGAAGAGTTGGCCGTGGCATGGGATTCCGTGGCCTGGCTTGACATCCGGGACTGCTCCAAGCTATCAGAAGATGGTTTAGGGTATATTATATATCACAGTCCTAACAGCAAATGAGCCTCGAAAGCTCTCTGCAGCACTTTGAGCTTCAGTTGTGAACCCTCAATCTTGAGCTTAGATCCCAAAACCCTGAAGCCCGACTAGTTACAATATAGACCCCGGCAGAGTTGGTACTCGCATTCCTAAACTCTGAACCTTGTGCATATCCGTAAACCCTCTACCCTAATTCCTCTTACCTTTCTAATTCATAAGCAATCAACGCCAAATCCTGATGCCTACACCCCGAGGCCTAAACCCCACGGCCTATTCCAAGGCTTTGACTATGACGCCTTCAACCCAGACCCCCAGAAACTCTAAACCCGTACCGAACTCCCATGGCAACCCTCGAAGAACTTGTAGAGGTTTCTGGTTTAGGGTTTAAGGGTTTAGGGTTTTAGGCTTACGGGTTCGGGATTTGGGGTTTACCCTAACCCTTAAGCCACCAAGCCCTAAACCCCTAAACCCCAAAACCCTTAGACCCTAAACCCCCCAATCCTAGCCCCTTTTGAACCCTAAACCCTTAAACCCTAAACCGTAAACCCTCAAACCCTGAAGCCTGAACCCCAACGATTTGGGGTTAAGGATGTCACCTAAACCCTAAGCCTTATAGATCCCTTAAAGGAACCGTACTTGGAGGGTCGGGGGACTTAGTAAGTAGGTAGAAAGTAGACTTATAAGTACCCTAAAAGGGACCCTAATTGGGATTATGGTACTTATAAGTCCCTAAAATAACCAGTTACTAAGTCCCCCGACCCTCCAAGTAGGTATTCCTTAAAGGATTTTGGAGTCTCTAGGATTAGGAGCTCCCAGCTTCCAAGTGCAGCCAACGACCCCAGGCAGTGAGCGGAGGCGACCCACCGAACGGAGACGTGTCCAGCGATCTCCAGGACACCAGATTCGGGTTCCTTTAGGGTGTTGGGGTTTAGGGTTCAGAGTTTAGGGTTCCGGGTTGAGGGTTTAGGGTTTAGAGTTTAGGGTTTGAGGTTTAAAGTTTAGAGTCCTTTTGGAGGGTTCCTTGAAAGAGTACGCTGGAAAAGGCAATTTGTGTTTCGGGTGGTTGCTCTGGGAACTGGGGAAATTGGTGGTTTTGGCGGCTGGGGCGCTGGGGGGTTCAGGGTTTACGGAGCTCTATGCGTGGGACAGGCTTTCCTGCACGCGTATGGTGGTGCTAAGTCCAAGAGACTCCAATATCCCGTAATTAAGGAACATACCTTGTATTTAGTAGGAACCCTAATACGATTAAAGGCATATTCGTTGATTAAGGCATATTGGGGTCTCTGGGTTGTGACAGACTATAGGGAGTGGAAGCGAAAGGGTCAACTCTGAACCCAGAACACCCTAAACCCCCGAAAGGCGAAAAGGGATTAGGGTTTAGGGTTTAGGGTTTAGGGATTTGGGGCTTTAGGGTTTAGGGTTTAGGGTTTGGGGTTTAGGGTTTAGGGATTTAGGGCTTTAGGGTCTAGGGTTCAGTGGGTTCAGAGGCTGCGGATTGGGGGCTTCCGAGGTTTCAGCCCCAGGTTTTCTAAGCAGCTGAGTAGGTAACCTTTAAGCTTGTGGGGTTAATATAACCCTAAACCTTAAACTCTAAAACTCTAAACTCTAAACTCTAAACTCTAAACCCTAAACCCTACCATAATTGAAAAGGTTAACCATTTGTGGGCTAGGGTACTCACTTAGCCCCCGCGTTTTTTAGAGCCCTCAGTAAGAGGCGTGGCAGCAGAGCGCTTCTCGCGTGCCTCGGGCACAGCTGAAGGAGGCCCCCTGGTTCGAGCGGTTTAGGGGTTTAGGGGTTTAGGGTTCAGGGTTATGGGCTTCGGGGTTCGGGGCAGCAGGGGTTTAGGGGTCAGGGTTTAGGGGTCAGGGTTTAGGGTTTGGAGTTGTTGTTTGAGGGCTTGCGAGTTTCGATTTTTCTGGCCGAGGGCCGAAGGTTTGGGTAAAGAGCTTTTGGGCTGAATTGGGTTTCGGGGGAAAAATTTGGGACGCAGAAGGCGCCTTTCAGTTGCTGTTTTTTTTTGTAAGGTCCTGGTGGTTGCAGAAAGGTTAGGGTGGGTTTTAAGCCTAAAGGTTTCGGGTTTGGTGAAAATGTGCCTTCAGGGTGGGTGTCGGATTTAGGTTTGAAAGTTCATTAGGTCGAGGGTTGAGGGTGAAGCTAGGGGCTTAAGGTGTAGAGTTCTAGGTTTCTTGTGGGTCTCTTGGGGTTCTGGCACGGTGCCAGGGGTTTCACGGTGTGTAGGCCGACAGGGTGCTAGGTTCCCCAGAAGTGCCCTTTGACCCTTTTACCCTTTTCCTTTCTGGGTTCCTTGGCTTAAACCAAATAGTACTGTTAAGGGGCTACTGGGGAACTCAGGGGATCTAAACCCAAGAACTTATCATCCCGAACCCCCCGAGACCTATCCACCCTGAGACGCAAAACCCCAAACTAGGGTCTGCGGCATCCCTACTTCCCGCATAGCCTTATTATGAAGGGGCTACCGGGAAAGCCCAGGTAGCTAAACCCCCTCAACCCTAAACCGTAAACGCCTAAACCCCTAGACCCAAACCCTAAACCCCTAGACCCTAAACCCCAAGCCCCAAACTCTAAACCGTAAGCCTTAAACCCTAAACCCTACTTCCCTGAACCCTAAACCCTACACCTCAAAACGCGCGCCAAGCGTCGGACCACAGGCTCTTGAGTCCGCAGAGGCTCCTGCATGTCCGCTGCTCGGCGGTAGCTCGGCGTGCAAGGGATTCTTGATCTTAGGCTAGGGTTTAGGGTTTAGGGTTTCGCGATTCTAAACGATTTCAGGCTAGGGTTTAGGGTTTTACGATTTTTGACGATTTTAGGCCAGGGTTTAGGGCTTAGGGTTTAGGGTTTCTGCGATTTTAGCCTACTTGGGACTTGGTCCGAAGGTTTTGGGCGCTCCTACTCTGCTGCTTCTGCTGATTCTACTGCTACTTCTGCTTCTACTGAAACTTTTACTGCGACGTCTACTACTTCTACTTCTGTTGCGCTCATGACGACGACGACTACTACTCCTCTGCTTCTTTTTTCTCTGTTACTTCGTACACCGCTACTGCTCTGCTACTGCTGCCACTGCTACTGCTACTGCTGCTGCTGCTGCTGCTGCTCCTGCTGCTCCTGCTGCTCCTGCTGCTCCTGCTGCTCCTGCTGCTCCTGCTGCTCCTGCTGCTCCTGCTGCTCCTGCTGCTCCTGCTGCTCCTGCTGCTCCTGCTGCTCCTGCTGCTGCTGCAGCATCCGGGGTTGCTAGCCCTGCAAACCCGGAGAAGCCATTAGATGTGCAATAATCTTGAAGTCACAAGCACACGTGTTTGCTGAAAGAATGGGTGTGCACCTCACGGCCCAAGACTACTCGCAGAAACGATTTCATTATACATGCTCCAGCAAACACCTAGTCATTACCCGAGGCCTGGCATGTTGGAGTTTCTACCCTCAGCCCCCATGCCCCAAAGCCCGTAAGCAGTCCCAGAGCGCTAAACTTGAATAAGCCCTCAACGCCAACAAAGCTGCACTGAAAACCACCAAAGAAAGAGATTTTTATAAGCGCATAACTCTAGACTCTATAGGTCCTAGACCCCTAAACCCAAAGGTTTGAAAGCCCAAGAACCCCAAGCTCAAAAACACTAAACCCTAAGCCCCTAAGCCCCTGAACCCCTAAACCCCTAAACGTCCAAGCCCGGCACCCCAAACCCTAAACCCCAAAACCCACAACCCTATGGCCTGACGCCCCTAAGACTGGAGGAGGAAGGGCCTTCGACGCCGAGCTCCGGCGCTGGCAGCCGTCTTTGGCCCAGGCCCTTAGAAATGAAGGAATAGAAGCAAGTTTGATATATGTATAACATACCAAATTATAAACGAATATAACTACGTAACAATGTTTGCAAGTCAAAAAGTAAATACATGAACAAACGAAAGCAAGTCACTAACTAAGTAAAACTATATATATATATATATATGTATGTATACATATATGTATGGATAGTTATGGTTCGTTATAACATGAGTTGCTTCAATAACGAGACGCAATTATGAGTAGGCACACAGAAACAAAAACAAGTATATATCAATAGAAACAGGCATAAACCAATAGAAATATATACAAATGATGGATAAAGCTAGAAATATTTACAGCCAGAAAAAGTAGAACTCTACAGAGATAGGCGCAACTAAGCAGACATAAATAGATGTACATACCAGTAAACATACGTAGGTATAAATCAGATATCAGTGGATCTGAAAAAGATAACTATATTTGTAAGTACACGTAGATAAACCATATCTACATATATAGACATATGGATATACATACGTATGTAATATGTACATGTAAGGTGTTTCTTAGTTCGGGCCAGGGGTTTGGGCCCTACACAGGGTTTGAGGTTTCGTGTCGACTCGCATGGGTTTCGGGCTGGGGCTTTGGCTAAATTGGTTTAGGGTTGGGCGGGGCTTGGGCTGGATTTCGGGCACTATAGACCCAGCGGACTTAGTAAGTGAGTTATAAGTAGAGCTATAAGCACCCTGAGTGGATCCTACTCATAACCGACTTACTAAGTCCCCTGGGCCTCCACGTATTTGTTCATGGACTTGCGGGTTTATGGGTTTGTTTGGGTTTTAGTCAGGCGCTCTTTGGACCCTCCGCGGAACCCGTGTTCGTTTTTTTGTTGTGGGTGCCTTGCTGTGGGTGCTCCGGGCGGCGGGCAGCGAGTGAGTGAGTGAGCTCGCGCACCCACAGCAAAGAAAAAAACGCGCCCCGGATCCTGGATGTCTTTCTGCAGTGGATGCTCAGAGGCGGGGGCAGCAAGTGAGTGAGTAAACTTGCCGCGCACCCGCAGCCAACAATCACGCGCCGCGCACCTGCAGCAAAAAAATGAACACGCCGCGCACCCGCTGCAAAAAACAAAATGCGCCGCGCACACGCAGCAAAAAAGCACGCACACAACAAACAAAATGAACACTCTTATCGGACCCTCCGCAGGTCCCAGCGATACCCCAAACCTGAGACCTTCAAGTCCTAAGGCAAAGATAGCCAGACCTCTCGAACTACTCACACCGCCAACCCGCAAGCCCTTTGAATCTTGAGCCCTAGGTCCTGTCCCTAAACCTTACTTGGAGGGTCGGGGGACTTAGTAAGTAGGTAGTAAGTAGACTTATAAGTACCCTAAAAGGGACCCTACTTGGGGTTATGGTACTTATAAGTCCCTAAAATAACCAGTTACTAAGTCCTCCGACCCTTCAAGCAACACCCAAAACCCGGAATCCCCAACCCCGAACTTCGAAACCCCCCAGAGCCAGTCAACTCCCTCGGCCCGCAGGCCGATGACCTGGGTGGAGAGCAGCTTGGCATAGAAGTTTTTGGGGGGCATGAGCCGACGCTGGAGTTTGTGCCTTTGAAGATTCAGGCTGTGTTTGAAGGTCCATGGCTGTTCAGAGTCGTAGGCCGAGACGTGAGGAAAGAAGAAGGATCTCGGCATATATGAGCCACATCGAAGCCTTGATAAGTTATCCTGAAGCCCGAAACCTTAGTTGTTACAACGACGCAGCCTTGTGGAGGTAGTTCATCGCAGGCGTGCTTGTTAATCTGAACGAGAATGTCGACATTTCGTGCTGTGGGTGGGTGGCCAATGTCGGCATCTTCGACACTTGTCTCCGCTTGTCTCCCTTCCTCATTTCTTGCAGTCGCAAGCAGATGATATAGGGGTTGGAAAATGCAAGAATGACTGTCCTTATAGACCTTGCATAATCATTCTCTAATGTCCACCCCGAACCTTATTCGAAGGCCCTTGTGTCATCGCTCTGGCTTGGCTTTAACTGTTTGGGGTCTTCGGTGATGCATTTTCGAATCCCGAAACCAAAGGTCAGAGGCCGGAGTCCCTGCACCGGGGACTGTGGACCCGTGGTGCCTGCGGGGCGAGGAGGCGGTTTCTGGGATGGGCGTTTTAGGGGTTTAGGGTTCAGGGTTTGGGGTTTAGGGTGTGGGGGTGAGCTTTCGGGAGGACGTCATCTTTTTGGGTTTCTCTACTTGGTCTCGGTAGAAACTTTGCACTCAGTTTGCAGAACTTTGTGCTGATTTTTTGTTGGTCCGACGAGGGCAGATTTTCAGAATCCCCTCAGTTTGTCTTCAAGTGAAAACTATACGCAAGAGCGGATGCAAGACCGCCCTGAACTCTAAACATCTGTTCTGCAACCCCCTTACAGAGCCCTGGTAGTCTCCCCCAAACAAGTAATCATATCCCTTTTGTCAGCCGCTGTGTACTCACATTGCAGTATAACCCACAATCCTCTACTTCTTGAGACTCTCAGCCCTAAACCCTAATCCTGAAAATTGAAAATGTTTAAGCCCAAACCCCAACCCTGTCGTACCCTTAGGGATCCCCTATAGGAATATTATAGCTCCTTTAAAGGAACCCCTCCTCACGCGTTGAAGCCCAAGCCCACAAGAGGCGGTCCAAGAGATACTTGTACTTCGACATGAGCTGCATGCCGCGCCTGGGCTTAAAGACAGGGTTCCCTTAAAGGCATCTATATAAGGGTTCCTTGAAGGGACATACTGTTGATGGACAAAATCCTGCATTACCCATTATAAGGAATATACCATAGTTCCCATAGTTAAGAGTCCTTGGGGTCATGAAGGATTTTGTCCATCAGCAGTATAAGGGTTCTATAAAGGGGTCACGCGTCTCTGATATGCCTAAAGACTCCGGAGCATGGCTTTCAGAACTTGACGGATTTGATTGGTTGGGAACCCAGAGACTCCAATATCCCTTAATTAAGGAATATACCTTAAATTATAGTAGGATCCTTAATATGATTTAAGGTATATTCCTTAATTAAGGGATATTGGAGTCTCTGGGAATGTAGGGGCCTTTATAGTTACCTACACTAGTCCTTATTATGTGTATCGCGCCGCCTAAGCCTCTGCCGCAGTGGCTTGCAAACTTGGCTTTTCCCTAAACCCTAAACCCTAAACCCTAAACCCTAAACCCTAAACCCTAAACCCTAAACCGGCGTTTAGAGTTTAGGGTTTTGGATTCAGGATAAGGGTTCCCCAAAACACCAAACCCTAAACCTACTAGCCTTAAGTCCTACGCCCCAAGGCCCATTAGCCCTACTGGGAGGGTCGGGGGACTTAGTAAGTAGGTAGTAGGTAGACTTATAAGTTTCCTAAGAGGGACCCTAATTGGGGTTATGGTACTTATAAGTCCCTAAAATAACCAGTTACTAAGTCCCCCGACCCTCCAAGTAGAGCTTAAGCCCCGATTTAGCAAATCGCCGGAGGCTCGAGGAGAGGTCCGCCGGCTCTGGGCACAGCTGGCCGCCCGCGACGGCCGCGTCGCACGCCTCGAAGCCGCGCCGCCTGGGCTCGCAGTAGTTTTCGAGGTTTAGGGCTGTTTTATGAAAGAAGCAGCCGCAGCCGGGGAGATGTTAGGGTACCAAAGAGCTTTCACGATGACTGTGTAAGGGTGAAAGTGGTCCTGTTTTTGCTCGGGGCTTATTATGGGTTTACGTGTACGGCTAGGGTGCACCTTTTCCCGCCCTTTCAAGACTGTAGCAAGCAGCCACCATTGAAAAGCGGTTCTGCGATCTCGAACCCCTAATCCCCAAGCCCTAAACCCTAAATCCGAAATCCTAAGCCTCAAACCCCAAGCCCCAAAAACCTAAATCTGAAATCCTAAGCCTCAAACCCCAAGCCCCAAAAACCCTAAATCCGAAATCCTAAGCCTCAAACCCCGAGCCCTAAGCCCTAACCCAAGCTCTAAACAATGTGCTGCTTGCGGATTGCAGCCGAGGCTCGCGCAGCGCCCTCAGCAGAGCCTCTGGCAGTGGAGCTGTTGTTGGGTCGCGGGCGCCTACATCCTCAATCTTCAGCCCCGAGGGTAGTTTAGGGTACGGACCAATTCTATTCCGTAGAGTTCCTTAACGTAAAATGATTCCCTTTTATGCTAACACTACAATCTACCCCAACCGGCCTGTTCTAATCATAAGACACCTGTATTCCTTCAATTGGGGTAGGGTGAAGCGTTTATTGGGCCTTCTTGTCCGGGAGTGGGATCTGGGATGTAGATCCCTGATGAGCAAGGCCCGCTTGTAACAGCGTGGGCAGGAGTACCTGAAACAGCAATCGCCGTAGTCGTCTGTGCCGGACGACGAACAGAAGATCCAGCTAGGACCATCTCGGAGTCGAAGTAGTCTTGGTCATAGTTGGGTAACATTTTACATTTTTATGGGTACTTAAACCCGATAAGGAATAAAAAATAGAATTTTTAATCCTATCCCAACCATGAACTAGTAGTGATGAGTTGAGGGCAGTAGCGATGAATAGAGTGATAGCAACGGCAATCATCGCAGTAGCTGCTTGGATAGTAGTGTACCTGCAATAGTAAGGAAGCAACATGAGCACCAGAGTCACTAGAGAATACCCACAATAATGGTAACTTGCATGACAATTCTTGTTCGTAAGAATAGCCGGCTGTAGTGGTACCTTCACATATTAAGACTCAGGATCGTAATGGCCATACCGTAGTGCTCATTCCTGATATGCTGCTATTGCGGCTAGAATGTTTAAGCTCGGTATATACCATATACCCTACTAAACTAGACCCGAGACCCAAAAGCCCTACAGCCGTGAAGCCCGAGCCGGAACAGCAAGGTGCGTAAGCATGCAGTGCTTTCGGGCTTTTGGGCTCGGGTTGGGGGTTTATTTGGAGGCCCCGTTAAGAGAAAACTGAGGAGGATCTATTTGGAAGGGTAAAGGGTTTAGGTTTCAGGTCCTCCCCATTGCTGCTCGGAGATCTGAGATCTTGCACCAAAGGGGGAAAAGAGGGACCCTTAATGGGGACCCCTACCCTATAATGGGCCATACAATGGGTATATAATAGCTATATTAAGGGTATATGCCTAGGGGTCCTTATTAAGGGTCCCGCCTTTTACCCTTGGATGCTCGGAGACCTGAGATCTTGCAGGAAGAGGCCATGCCATGCTTGTCGGTGCCACTGCTGTTGTTCGTTGTCAGGCTTACATCTTGTTCTAAGCCCTTTGCGCTTGGTGCCCGTAGTGGCAATTCCTCTTGCATCCGCTGTTGTTGACAGGATCACTCCTACTGTTGATAAAAAATCTGCATTACCCATAATAAGGAATGTACCATACTTCCCATAGTTTCGGGTCCTTAAGGTAATGCAGGATTTATATCATCAACAGTACTAGCATTATGGCCCGATCATGATCAATCTTGCCGCATGGTAGTCCATCTGTCTGAGCCCCCGAACTTCTTGCCTTCATTCTTAAAGATGAATCCTAAACCCTAAACCCTAAACCCTAAACCCTAAACCCTACATGAAAAGGGAGCTCAAAAAAGGAAAACCTAAACCCCTAAACCCTTAAACCCCTAAACCCTAAACCGTGAGTGTGCCGTGTGACTTCGCTGAGGCGAAGCGCGCAGTGCCCCGTCTGCGGAACCCGGCCGTTTCTCGGCCGCACCGGCTTAGGGTTTAGGGTTTAGGGCACCGTTATCCCTTAATTAAGGAATACACCTGAAATTATAGTAGGATCCCTAAGATGATTTAAGGTATATTCCGTAATTAAGGGATATTGGAGTCTATGGGTTTAGGGTTTAGGGCACCATTAGGGCTTCTCGTGCAGGTTTTAGGGTTGGGGTTATGCCCCCAACATTATTTTGCAAAAATGCATACAACCACTATATTCCCCGGAAGCAAAAAATTCCAAAACCCCAAAAGCCAAAAGCACAAACCTTCAAACCCTAGAGCCCCATAATACATAAGATGCCATGAAGAACCCTTGCAAAACCCTAAACCCTAAACCCCTAAATCCTAAACCCTAAACCCTAAACCCTCGGAAAATCCCGAAGGATCGACTCGGGCGGGTGAAGGTTGCTCCGAGGTGGCCCGAAGCAGGGGAAAGCAGGAGTTAAGGGTTTGGGGTCTGGGGTTTTGGAGGTTTAGGAAGTTTAGGGTTTAGGGTTCCGGGTTTAGGGTTTAGGAGGTTTAGGAAGTTTAGGGAATAACTTCAGCATTTATAAAAGGTTTGATCTTGATGGGATTCTAGAAGGGTCCTGCCAGGATTCAAAGGGGTCCTCCAAGGGTTATCAACAAACTATCAAGGTAGGGTTTCAGGATGTGGGGTTTGGAGTGTAGGGTTTGACATGGTGGCGTTCTGGGTCCACGCTCTAGAGCATTGTAACTGCTGAGTAGGTAACCTTTAGGTTTGGCCTCATTTGGGCTTTCCTAGTGTTCATAGTCACAGTATACAGCCCCCGAAACCCTAGACAGGATTTACGTCTTAAACCGGTTGCTGCATGTCCCGGTTATCCTGTAAATCTTAGTTTCAGATGCTGATGCTGGGCCGCATGCTTTTTGGTCCACCGCTGGTTTGAGCAACTGTTTCTGCAAGAAAGGGTTTAGGTTTTAGGGTTTAGGGCTCAGGGTGTACGGTCACACTTAACCATGCAGATCTGCAACCTCTGATGGCAGAGGATGCCGGAAGTTTTACCCCCAACCGAAACCTTAAACCTATATTGCAACGAGTATGCAATCATATCCAATCTAATGTAATGGGGTTCCCAGAAACACCAGAGAGCTGAGTTAGAAGTTTACACCCCAGATAGCACCTTGAAGTTTACACCCCAGGTAGTGGGATCCGTATGACTCAAACTCCATGGAATCCAGAACTCTAGACTGGGCTCTACGTTATCCCCGCGAAATGCACGGCGTCCAAACCCTAGACCCTAAATCTGAGCCCTGATCCTCCACCTCTGCATCCCTAAACCCTAGGCTAAACTTCGATCCTTGAGCTTCGAATCCAGAAACCCTCAATCCCCTAAGCCTCACTCTAGCAGAGGAACATCGGAACCCTACACCCCAAACCCTAAACCGTACCCCAAGGCACTAAGCTGTAAGCCCTCAACCCTAAACCCTAAACTGCCCAGAGACTCCAATATCTTTTAATTAAGGAATATACCTTAAATCATATTAGGGATCCTACTATAATTTCAGGTATATTCCTTAATGAAGGGATATTGGAGTCTCCGGGTGCTAAGATTCCAGTCCAGGCATCCTCTCGGCCACCTGCGCAGCGAAAGCTCTGCGTGGAGCCTGCAGGCTGCATTCGGGGGTTGTAGTGTTCTACTGTTGATGATATAAATCCTGCACTACCTTAAGGACCCTAAACTAGGAGGAATTATGGTATATTCCTTATTATGGGCAATGCAGGGTTTATATCATCAACAGTAGTTTAAGGTTGGGGTTTGAAGGGAGGGTGGGAGGGAGCCAATCGTTCCAAAGCTGGGTTCTTGTTTTGGAATTCAATTAAAGTTAGCATAATTGGGATCTATGGTAAATAATATGGGTTTCCTTATTATATGGGGACTGAAATAAAATCCCTCAACAAGAACCCAGGTAGCCTAAAGCCTCAGCCAATGCTTCCGGCAGGACAGGCGGCTGGGTGACTGCGCTCAGCGCTGCGGTTCTGCGCAAAAGGTGTGCGAATCCTAATGTGGGGGCCTTGATGTTAATGTTTGTCTTTTTACTATTTTGGGGGTTCCTTAGTATAATCATAGTATAATGGTCCCCAAAACCCTATTGAACATATTCTAATTTTTAAGGCCCCTATAGTATAGTATATTCATAGATTCCTTATAGTAACCCTTCTAGGCTCCTTTAAAGGAGCCCTATTCTAATTAACAAGGCCCCTATATGGTGCGCCAGGGATCCCCAAGCCCAAGCCCGATACCCGGAGGCAAAGCCAAACCCGAGCGAAGTCCGAGACCCAAGCCTGAAGCCCGAAGCCCCGGCACCGTCTAATGTAAGGGGTTTAGGGTTTAGGGGCCTTAATGGCCTTAACAATTAGGGTTTAGGGTTGAAGGGCCTTACTAATTAGGGTTTAGGGTTTAAGGGCCTTAATAGTTAGGGCTTAGGGTTTAAGGGCTTAATACGTAGGGTTTAGGGTTTAGGGGGGTCTATAAGGGCTACAAGGGTACAATAAGAGAGGGGCCTTCATAATTAGAATAGGGTATGTAAGGGTTTAGGGTTTAAGGGCCTTAATAATTAGGATTTGCGGGTATATTTTACTATAACTGTAATAAGGAACCCCCAAAACCTGATTCTAATTATTAAAGCCCTTACATTAGCTTTGTCTGTTCTCTCCGAGTCCGGACGAAATTTGGGGCCTTGTGGACACAGGCCCATAAAACGTAAACTCCAACGCATAGTATAGAGAGCTCCCCAGGAAGACAATTTGGGGTCCGTCCTTGTCGGCTTCTGTTAGGCTCATCTGGTCGTTCTAGTTGTTGAGGGTGGGCAGCGCAAGACCTAGTTAATATACGTAATGAGTAATCAGCGATAGTCTCGTCTTGCCTGGAGTACTTATAGACTATACCGTATCCCGACAACTGTGTTTAATTGTCAGAAGGCTCCATGCTCGACTTCCTGCAGCAGCGCGTCAAACATCCTACAGCACCGCCATAACCTTGCAATCATATGAAACTCTACAGAACATTACACTGGAGCCCCCTATCAACCTGCAACATGCCATGAATAAAAACATGGCTGTGGGGCTTTATGGGCGCTTCCGACAACAGGATACCCTAATGTAGTACCCTAAACAGTAGGTTCCCTATTATAAGGACCCCAAAATGATGAACCCCTATTTTCGGAAACTCTAAACCCTAAACCCTAGACCCTTTATAGAACCCTTAAGGATCCCTTTAAAGGAACCCCGAATTTTCGGAAACTCCCATATTGCACGAAATCCATGGGCATGCGACTTTCAAGCAGCCCCGTCAACGACTGCACATCGGCGCTAGTCTTCTTGGCAATATAGTTTAAGGGTTACTACAAGGGATCTATAAGACTACTATAGTGTAGGGGTCTTAATACTTAGAATAGGGCTTTAATTATAGTAAGGAACACCCCAAAATTGTATTGGTAATTATTAAGGCCTGTACATGAGATACTGCCCGCAGCACCAGCCGCGGCAAATGTGACAAGAGTCGTGCGCAAGCCCGAAGCCCCTCAACACTAGCAGCCCAAAGTTCTGAAACCCTCCGCCGTTCCGGTTTAGGGTTTAGGGTTTAGGGTTTAGGGTTTAGGGGCAAGCCTTCAGATGCCAGCAGCTAGCCTTCACCATATGAAAGATAATTCAAAGATCGGTCATCGGTTTCTAGGTTTCGGGCTTTGGTGTTGTTCAGATACCACCGGCAGGCGGAATGCAGCCGCAGCACGTCACCTTGATACCTAAAACTCTCACCCTTAACCCCAAACCCTGAACCCCTAAACCCAAACCCTGAACCAGTACACCCTGAACCCTGAAGCACAAACCATGACATAACAAGACGTCCGAAGACCGTGCAGTTCGCTGAGCCAGCATGACCTATCGGCACTGAAAGCTGTTCATGGGTGCTTTAGGCCTGGTCTACTAAAAACGTCAGGTTCGTAATGGTCTAATGCGGAGGCCTGATGACCTTTGGATCTGGCATTCAGGATTAGTTTAGGCTTGCTCAGGAGAATAGACTGCGTATCCCAGGCAGCTTAATTCTGCATTCCTTGTGCGGCTTGGCATGGCTCTGCCCGCGGAGACATGCAGGCGACGAACCAACTCCCTTGGGGCCCTTTATAAAGGAATCCATGATGCTTTGAAGAATATCCTTCGGAACTAGGGAGTTTACAGTCTCTGGGAAGGTTATGTCGGAGTGGCTGTGGTTCAAGGGCCCTAAAAGCGAAAACACCAAACTCGAGGGAGCCCACGATGTTCAGGGTACTTAAGTCCGAAAACGCCTTCAAGCCTACATTGTAATACCCTTATAGATAACTTATAGATCCCTTCATAGTAACCCTTATCGACCCCTTTAAAGGAACCCTAAGCCCTATCGATCCCCTTAAAAGGAGCCCTTACAGAGGTTTAGGGTTTAGGGGTCTCAGCCCCTAACCTTGGGTCTTTTCGGCTACAGGTACACCCTAAACCCTAAACCTTAAACCCTACACCTTAAACCTGAACCCTAAACCCTAAACCTTAAACCCTCACCTTAAACCTGAACCCTAAACTCTCTACTACGGAACCCTAAAAGGGTAGGTCCTCTTTTCTCAACGCAACCCCGAGCCCCAAAATCCTGAAATCCCCACAAAAACTCCAAGATCCCTTAGTTAAGGAGTATTCCTTAAAGCAGATCCTACTATAACTTAAGGTATACTCCTTACTTCCCTTGTAGAACCCGTTTAGATCCTTTATCAAGGAACCTTGTAAGGTATATTCCTTAACTAAGGGATATTGGAGTCTCTGGGTCCTGGCCGCTGCGAGGACCCGCCCTCTTCTTTCCCGCTCTTGGAGCAGGGACCCCCAGGATTCGACGCTTCTTTGTTGTTGGGGTTTAGGGTTTAAGGTTCAGGGTTTTAGGGTTTTGGGGTTTAGGGGTTGAGGGTTTAAGGTTTAGGGTTTTAGGGTTCAGGGTTTAGGGGTTTGGGGTTTAGGGTTGGGGTTACGAGTGTCGGGGGCTTAGGGTTAAGCTAGGGTTTGGGGTTTAGGGTTGAGGGTCTAGGGCTTAGGTTGCAGACTTTCAGGGTTTTGGATTTTGAGGTTGGTTTTGAGATGTAGGGTTTAGATACCTGGTTGTACAGGTGATGGACAAAGGGCCTGTAGATGAGATGGAGAGGCTGTGGCTTTGTTGCTTTGGACAGTTAGTCAGTCAAGTGTTCTTCTGTTTGTGAAATTTCTGTCTAATTAGGATGTGCACGACGGTCTTGGAGGGTTTCAGACGGTTCGGGGATCTGAAATCATGATTTGGATGTGATGCTGTGTGGTTGGGAAATGAGGATCAGCATGTGTGCTTCGCAGTCTAGGACCTTGAATTGGGTTTATGGTTTTGGGCAAGGGTTCC